TCGGCTTCCCAGCTCGCAGGGTGAATCGGACCCTCTGCGCCGCCAGGTGGCGCCATCAGCCCTGCGAGCCGCGCGTGGTTCCCGCAGGGAAGCCGCAGAACTGGGGGATCTTTGGGATGTGGGGTTCCAGGCCAGGCCTCCGAACAGCATAAGGGGGATGCTGGGGAGCAAAGACCAGAGTCCCACGTGACACATCCTGCAGCTGGTCCTAGGAAACATCTGGGGCCCAAGACAGCTCACTCATTCAGTGCCCCCGCCCCAGGACCTTTGGACCTGAAGCCCCGAACCAAGGGGCAGAGTTTACCCCTCGGGATCTATAAGGGTGGGCAGAGGCAGAGCAGTGTGATTTCTGCACAACCTTTGTGACCTCCTCCACCACCGTCTCCCCTGGGCCTTGCCTGTTTACAGACCTCCAGGCCACAGAGCTGATGTTATCTAGCCATTGGGAAGGGCTGGCTAAGGGGTCAGATGATGGAGGCAGGGGGAGAAGTTTCCAGACTGAATGGCTTTCCTGCTTCAGTGTCACTGCCTCCCCACCGCCCCCCGCCCCAAATATTAAACTCTGCCAGTTCTCAGGGAGGCACCCAGGGCGTCCATGGACCATTCACACGCTTTTATTGGGCCCTACTATGTGCCATCCCCACTCTCGCCCTGGATAGCAAAGGCCCTAGCGATACAGTCTATGTTTTGCCAGGCTTAGTCCAGCTGGCGAGGCAAAGCCTATTTGCAACCTAATGTCAGCTGAGGTAGCGTGTCCTTTGAGATTCAGATGACATTGGCTCGAACTCCCTTGTCCTGTGGGAAGTCCAATGCCCTCCCAGGATTTCTGTGAGTGGCTGGGGGAACTTTGAGTTCGTGGTTACCTCTGGCTCTAGTTTTCTGCCTCGTCAAAGCCTTGTTCAGTATTCTGGTCTTGTGGCTGTTTCTTTAGTTCCTGCCATCAATTCGCAGAGGGAACACAGCCCCTGTTCCTTCCAGCCCCCACCCCGATTCCAAAACAACTACAAAAATAGTGCTGTAACATGGAGCAGAACTTTTAATGAAAATTTGTTGGCCACAGGGGAGGGATTACATCACACAGCAAACAATTTAAAGTCACATTTCTGAAATGTTCTGAAAAGTTATTTTGGCTCTCCAGTCACCTGGGATTTCTCACTGGGCACACCACGCCACGAAGCTCCCTGGCCCGCTCTGCTGCGTCCCACCGAACTCATCCCTGGTACACCCTTCCCACCCTCCACCCCACCTCCCTTCCTTGATCAACTCTGAGAAGCCAGTTTCCTCTCTACTGTGCTGAGAGTTCAAGTCTTTTCATTGTTTCTTCCTAAATCACCACCCCCCCCCCCCCCCCCCCCCCCCCCCACACACACACACACACACACACACACACACACACACACTGCCCCCCAAGTCCACCTTTTTATATCCAGAATCTCACTAGGTCTCTCTTTCCAGAAAGAAGTTGTGGTTTGAAGCGACCCTTTCCCCACTGGTTTATGTTCAAGGTTGGGAAGAGTGTGAAATACTTGCCTCTGGGCCCCAGAAGTCTTAGTCAGAGAAGCCCGAGTTCCTACCACCCAGCCCCAGGAGGCCTCTGTTTGAAGCGGCCTGGCCCGTGGAAGTGCCTGGGAGGATGCGCACTTCTGTGCATCCTGGTCTCGAACTGCTAGATTCTCTCCTCTGCCCGCTCTTTCAAGCCCCTGGACTTCCCTCTCTGGGCTGTTCCATAGCAGAAGGGACGGGGGGGGGGGGGGGGGGGGGGCGCACCTTTCCCCTCACCTCCCGCCTGGGGCCAGGAGCCACACCTGCCCACGCGGGACACTGGCGTGCGGCCCAAAGTAGCTTTCCTTCTGTGCGTTTGCCTGGACTGTCGTCAGAGGCCAGAGAGCAGAGACAGAGCCAGTTGGAATAGAGGCAAAACTCCACATCCTTTAAAGAGGAAAGCATGCGGCTTAAGTGAGCTTATTTCAGAAAATAAATAAATGCATCCGTGAGCCTGCCCTTTGGACTTGATTTTTTAAATTCCCATTGTCACCCGGGCAGCATGGCTCAATGGTTGAGCATCGACCCATGAACCAAGAGGTCAGGGTTCGATTCCCTGTCAAGGTACATGCCCGGGTTGCGGGCTCAAATCCCAGTGGGGGGCCTGCACAAGGCAGCCGATCAATGAATGATTCTCTCTCATCACTGATGTTTCTCTCTCTCTCCCTCTCCTTTCCTCTCTGAAATCAGTAAAAATATATATATTTTTAAATTCCCATTGTCAGAGAGGTTAGCATTCAGACAGCGAGATCCAGCCTTTCTTTCACCCCTGAACCCAGTCCTGGGTTTCCCCACCCCCAGGCCCACAGTGAGGCTGCCGCTGAGGACGGGAGACGGGGCCAGCCTCGCGGAAGCAGCGCCTTCACAGTCTGAGCCAAGAAGGTGGCCAACAGGTTCGACTCCACTTTCCTGAGCGCCGGGCCCAGGGGAGGCTGGGCGGCTGACCTCGGGCATGGGGAGTGCTCTCACTGGAAGGCGGGAGGGACGCAGGCCAGGGCCAAAGGCATTCCTGGAAACCAGCCTGCTGCGGAGGACATGGGTGGCTGCCACCCGCTGCCACGTGTGGGCCGGAGATCAAAGGGCTCGCCCAGCCTGAGAGCGGGATGACATAACGCCCGTGAGAAGCATCTCATCCCACCGCCACGACTCCTGGATGACCCCGCGCACCCGGCCAAGGGGCTGCACACGGATCAGAGACCAGGGGCCCGAGAGGGTTGGTGGGCCTGTGGTGTGTGTGTGTGTGTGTGTGTGTGTGTGTGTGTGGCAGGGGAGCTCCGCAGGCCTTCGAGACCAGAGGGGACCCTACTCTAGGAAGGAGTAGCCTGAAGGTAGAGGTGACTTGGAAAATGTCACCAGAAATGTGGTGGCACGTATGGGCTTGGTTTCCTTAATCAAATTTACTCTTTTGTCTCCCCCAAAAGTGCCCTTGGCATTATTTTTTTTATTATTATTACCAGAGGCCCAGTGCACAAAATTCGTGCACTGGGGGGGGGGGGGTCCCCCAGCCCGGATTGGGAGAGGGCCCAGGCCAGGCCAAGGGACCCCACCAGTGCACAATTGGGGCAGGGGAGGGACACAGGAGGTTGGCCAGCTGGGGAGAGACCGCGGGAGGGACCACGGGGGGCTCCAGGGTGCGTCCGGCCCATCTCGCTCAGTCCCGATCGGCGGGACCCCAGCAGCAAGCTATCTTACCGGTCGACTGTCTGCCCCCTGGTGGTCAGTGCACGTCATAGTGAGTAGTTGAGTGGCCTTAGCATATCATTAGCATAGTATACTTTGATTGGTTGAATGGCTGACCTGCCAACGGACACTTAGCATATTAGGCTTTTATTATATAGGATTATTGATTCAGAGAGGAAGGGAGAGGGAGAGAGAGAACCATCAATGATGAGAATCATTGATCTGCTGCCTGCTGCACGCCCCACACTGGGGATGGAACCCACAACCCAGGCATGTGCCCTGACCAGGAATCGGACCTTGACCTCCTGGTTCATAGGTCTACGCTCAATCACTGAGCCATGCCAGCTGGGCCACATTCGTTTTGTTGTTGTTGTTGTTTGTTTGTTTACTTAATAAAATATGTATCAAATGCTGAGGCTGTGCAGGAGCAGTGCTGGATATGGGGCTGCGGAGATCAGTGAGGTGGTGCTGTCTGTCTGCCT